TTGATTTTCAAGATCTTGTGAGGCTGCGTTGTGCTTTGACCTCCCCAAAATCTGAATTTTCAATTCACTCCCCTTGTGAGTCACCGAAATGGCCGGGTCTCTCCAAGGAATCCAATTTCCATCCATCCGGGTCATCCCCGAATTCTCGCAAAAACCGGAGAGATACTAGCCGCTCCCTGGATGGAGGGGCAAAATATTCAAATGATGGGACCTAAGGGGTCTCCCTCTTAGGGCCCATCCTCCCCCATTCTCTCGGGCCCAGGGTCCCAGACAAAAACTGCCGCGGCTTGATGGCCGTGCTTTGCCCTTTGCTAGTGAATGCGGCGCTGTCCGGAATTTTTCAGCGTCCGGCCTCGCCCACGTTTTTCGCCGGGAACGGCAATTTGGGCTTTTGCCACGGAGCAGATGGGGAAGTAGCTGCGCCCTGAAAGGTAGTACTTTTAAGTGGAGTTGAAAACTTTTGCTCGGTTTCTATGGCAAAAATTTCTCAAGAACTTCGGCTTTTAATGCTGAAAGAGCATCGTAGTCGCGATTACGGTAGCGCTTCTTTTTCTAATTTTTGTAACTGTTCAGCATTTGTCGTTTATAATTTAAAAAATGGAAATTTTTCACATTTTCAGTAATCATTTTCAGCAACATCAACGATAATACGTTTTTTTAATATTACTAGCTTTGCTCACTGAAAACCGGAGTAGCCACATTTTTTTACACTTTGGCATATCCTCATTTTTTTTGAATTCTTGATTGTTTTGCTTTTTTGAAGCCCGCCAAATAGATCTAGAGACTGTTTTCCTCCCACGTTTTGCACTTTTTACTTCTCTTAAACGGTATGTTAAAACGTTAATTTTCTGAGCAATGCGGTAAATTTTTGTCACATCAAAAAGTTCCAAATTTTCGGGCTTTTCAACTTTTCTAGATTTTAAATTTTATCGAGATGGCGGGATTCTTAAAACCCCCATCTCCGAGTGCGTTTCCCGATTTTTTTGCAAGCTGATTTTTAACGTGTAGATCCTGTTCCTAAGGTATAAAGTCAAAAATATCAACGATCCGCTATTTTCTTGCTCGGATGCACGATTTCGACGAGTCTTTCAGCTCCGCATTTTTCGCAATAGATTTCGCTGTGGCAACCTAACCCCAGACGTGTGGCTTTATCATATAGGCTTCAAGAAAATCCCAAAAGTCACGTGTCCGACCCAAAAGCTCTAATTTTTCACCTGCCGGCCAGCTTCTCTTGTCTATTGAATTTGGCGGTATCGGTCGACTCTCGCTTTCCCAATGACTAACCACCCCCAAATCAACCAATTTTTACCATTGCAAAGGACAACGACACCCCCATTTCCGGGGAATGTTATTTCCGAGAAGCTACTCTGATTTGTGTAAAAAAGGCTGGCGACTCACATGCCCTGGAGGCATTTTCTCCCATTTGGTTGAGTGAATTAGTCCATTCAACCGCTATGCCTTGGCCAGAGGACAGGAAATCCCCCCTGCACCTAGTCGGCCACACACCCGACCCGTGTAGATTGAAGCTGTCAATGGCAGCGCGCTTTTTGAGGCGGCGCACCCAGTTTTCGATATCCCCAGAAATTTCCGCTACCTTAACGTCTGGAACGCTTTTTGAAAGTCTCAAAATCGACTACTGTAACTGACAAGATCTCGACACTTTTACCCACCGATTCCACGCGAATTTGTCCAAATAACCACGGAATCTAGCCTCCCCAGGGGCGCCCCGTACTTGTCGACACCTAAGCAAGGGAGGTCTGTTTCTCGCTTCCTTGGCCCTTTAAAGAGCTTGTGAAGGCATAGAGTTAAGTTTCTCCTTGGTCATTGAGGATCTATGCGTTCATTTCATGGTCTTAGTCAAGTTTATTAGAGATAGCGAGAGAGAGAGAGAGACAGAGAGACAGAGAGCAAGCGAAGAAAGATATACAAAAACGCAACGGTACCCTTTTTCTCGTAGGTTTTTTTTACTAGTCTGTCCATTTTTAAACGATTTTTAATGCCTAAGTTCCGCTCATTGTGGTTTTTCCAGGCAACTCATACTAGGCTGGAAAATCGGGAAACGTTGATGTCCGCAATATCCTCGACCAATTCAAATATGCTAATTTTCTTGCACCCCCTTGAATCGTGGGAGAGTTCCCCCGATCTCTGACCACCCCAACCTCTTCACCCGAAAAACCCAAACACCGCCACGCTCCCAACCAACTTACAGCGTTTTTGGCGTGTGTAGTGGGCCCTCCACAGCCCTTGGTCGGCTCTTTGGACCAGATTTTCGATTCTCTTCCGCCCAGCGAAAATCCACGAAGTCCACGAAGCGTGGGACCTGAGCGGGCCAAGAGGCCGTGTGGCCAAGGTTAAGGCCAATGCCAAGAGGCCAATCTCCGGCCGTTTTTTGCACGGTGCTCATCAGCCCCCTGCATAAAATGCCATGAATTTTTCATTGGCGGCTCCTCGGGGGTGCAGAAAGAGGTGAGAAGCCACCACAGACGTTTTCTCCATTCAGGTTTTTGCCAAGATCCGGCATCTTTTCACGGGAATGTGGGGGGTTAGTTGATTTATGTATGTATGTGGTTGTCTTCCCAGGAACAAATGGGTTTTAAAAGATTTGGAAAGTCACAGACTTAGATTTTTCTGATTTGGCCCTACCCAAGATACAATAATCGGGTACGCCATGTTATCCCGGCCCAGCGGCTAGCGCGATGCATGGCGCGCACCCGGGAATGTTTTCTGAGTGTTCATAGCTAGAATAAAACCCATTTTTGGTCACTTCCGGTTGTTTGAAAAGGGACTATGTCAGCAGGTCATCTTTTTCTCCCTAATGATCTCTGAACCGTTGCCTTAATGCTAATTGTAAGTTATTTCCAGATTTCACTTTCCTTTTTCCATTTTAAATTTAGGATTTTTAGCAGCCTTTTTGATCCAATAATTCGTTCTACGGCGTCCTAAATTATCTCAGCCCGCGTATCTTTCCGAGCGTTTTACGGTTCCATCCCCGGAAAAATATAGAAATTATTCGTTGTTTGCCTAAGCTTTTTTTTAGTTTCAATAAATTCCTCAATTTTCACGATTTTTTCGGTGATCGCTGCTGCTTCTATCTTTATATTCCGCTAACCTACCATTAATACGTTGATCAACCGGCCAAGCCGGAGCACATTTTTCCACATCTTCCAGCCATCGGATTGCATTAAACCTCCTCCGTTTCCGGTCATCCCCGCCCCGCAATTTTCCGGTACACCTCCAGGAGTTCTGACTTCCGGGTCCACCCCGTCATCTCCCCCAATTTTTTCATTATTTTTCAATTATTTTCACGTTCATTTTCGCCGAAAAGTCCCGGATCAACCGTCGGCTTTTCTTGCTGTTGAGGTCAGCTGTTGTCTGAACTCCCCCCTTGCCCTGCGTGTCCACGTTTAATTAATCCGCCATAATGGGGGGATTATGTGAGTATGTAGGGGCGAAAAGTCGTCAACGAGGTGTCGGCGTTTTTCGAGGGCCGCAGCCCGGACAAAATTGGTCATTTCGACGCCAAACAGCTCATTCGCAAGGGCTACTGTAAGCGCGTTATTACTAAAAATTCTATAAAATTAATTAATTTGTTCTATTTTCTACCTACCAAAGACTACAAATTCCGAAAACTAATCCAAAAAGCGCCTACAAAAACCAAGGTAAATTCTAAAAAAATTTTAAAGGGGTGGCGGATTTTTTGAAATTTTTCAAGCAGTCATTTGGTGGGCGGCGGGGGTGGAAAAGTTCCCTTTATCCCCAAATTAACACAAAACGTCGCTAGGCGCTTGACGTAATGGGGGTGGCTGAATTTGGCAGGGGCGCTACCCGGGGGCTATTTAGAGGCGCGCGGGTGTTAATCGGAATCTTGTTGCCAACTTCCGGCTTGCGAGGCGTTTACTTTGTAACTTGAATATAATCACTAGGTATTCCTTCGTTTCTTTACCGTCTGGCACCGGAAACGTGAGCAATATCAGGGCGCGAATTGGATTAGGCGCCCAGTAACGGTCTATGCAAGCTAGCAGAAACCATTTGATCGGCTTTGTTATTCTTTTTCAGCCCCCTCCCCCATCCCCAACCCCAATCACGAACCACCTCATATTCCCAAATACCAATCCCAATATATACAACTTCCTTTAAACCATTATGGTTTATAAGGCTCAGGTCCGGAGCAGTAGGATACGCAAATTCGCGTGCACCTAATTTTACACAGGTTCTTTTATCAGTTTCTGATGTTTTCCACCTCGAATTTTCCCCATTTTCTAGCCCCCAATTCCACGTAGAGTCCAAATTCTGGCCCCAGCCCCCCCTTTAGGTGTTCCTCTTTTCAAAGGGCCCTATCCTTGCCTATCCCGACGATGGGGAGGGGCCCAATCAAATTGCCCCCATTCACCGTTCTTATCCCTTTTTTGAAGGCAGGAAAAGGTATGGTGAGGGGGGGTTGGGCAGAAAGTGTCCCCGGGGGATCTCAGTGTCTGTCTGTGTGTCGTATGTTTGTCTGTTTGTTATCTCTACCAGTTGGGGAAGGGGGTGTAGATACAAGAAAAAAGGGAAAACAGAAACAAACCCAGCCGCTTCTAATTCGTCCCCCCCGACGCCAGCTTGGGAATTTGTCGATTCTGACGGGGAGTACTTTAGGATACTATTGACACCTATGGAATTCCGTTTTATTTGAATACTGTATTCCACTCCTAAAAACCCATTAAGTATATTATTATTAATATTTATTCAATTCATTCGAATTATCGCCTAATTTACGTCAATAATCTTTGAAGACATTTATACAAACACTTCTAAAGCTATAGTATTAATTTTTGGCAGGGCTACGGTGCCAAAACACGACTTTAGTACGCGAGAATACGCTACTAAACCGTAGCTGCCGTGCCGAGCGTATTTATCCCTACTCAAGACTACGTTACGCTCCTGAATCCGCCGATTTCCAAAGCCGATATCCTGTAAAGTATCATTTCTACAGTTTTCGGTACTATCCAGCCACCAATACCATGTCTCCGTTCAGGTGAATACCGCATTAATGGCATACTCATTTTTGGCTTTTGTCTTTCTCTTTTGGCTTGGCTTTCCTCACAACCCACGGCCTTCCGAATTTGCATATTACGACCTGCTGCCTCATTTATTTAATTTCCTAGTTTCAGAATGATCTCGTTGAGACGGACGAGCACAAAGCGGTTACATAGACTGCCCTCAAAACCTGGCGAAATCCTGCATGAGGGCCAGTCCTGTCCGAATAGCCCGGCGGTAAAAAAGGTATTTTTCGGTTTTGTTTGAATTACTTGCTAAGGTTAATAACTATGCAACTTTTTGTAGCATCCTTAGAAAACTTGCCTTGAAAGGCATACGTGATAAATTCATTGTGTTTCGGTTCTCCAATGGCAGATTTCTGACCTGGTCGCTTTAAAAACGCGGTAAAATCTTGTCTTTAAAAATCTTAACGATTTTAAAATTGCAACAGATTTAAAGATCGACACAGTTTACGGTTAAAAATTGTATTAAATCGGGTTATATACGCTTTTGGGTACCCCTAAATTAACTACTTTTCCAGGCGTATAGGCTTGTCGTCGTCGGTTCCCCGCGAAGCGGCAAAACCGCGATGGTAGACCGCTTCCTGGACCGCGAATTTCAAGAGCGATACATCCCAACGATAGAAAACTTTCACCGAAAGTTATATAAAGTAAGGCTCTAATTTTGAAGTAAAGCTCCGATTTTCAGATCCGCGGCGAGGTGTATCAACTCGACGTCATCGATTGTAGCGGAAATGATCCATTTCCTGCTGCGAGAAAATTATGTTATTTATCGGGTGCTGTACCTAGACTATATTTAAATTACCGTAATATTTCAGGTGATATGTTTCTGGTGGTGGCCTCCGTGGATCAGCCATATTCCATCGAGGCCATGACGGATTTGGCGAACCAGATTGTGGATTGTAAGGTAAGGAATAAACGTGTTTTTTTTGAAAACTCTCCTCGAAAACAAGCTAGCAGGGATCCTTGCGGAAAATTGTGCATTTATTAAGTTATATTTTACATAATCTACATAAATATCATTTCAGTCAAACAACTCCGAGTCGCGGGTGCCAATAATTTTCTGCTTGAACAAGACGGATTTGCCGGATAGCCGATGGGAGGTAGGAATTTAATACGAATTTTACTACTTACTTGCGTTACGTTTTATTGTCTTTTGTAAAGATAATTCAATTAACTTAAATGCTAATTAGAAAATATTGAGCTTTTTAGGTGTCCCAGGGGGAAGCCGAAGCGAGATTGGCCCAAACAGAGTTTTCCATCGAACAATTATATCAGTGTTCAGCGGCTACCGGAGAAAATGTTGATAAGGTACGATTTCTTATTTCTATTCTATCGATTTCTATTACTGCCGCTATATACCTTCAATTTGCATTATTAAAAAAAAATTAGCGTCATTTATCATGCTTTTTAGGCCCTAGGAAAGCTCTTCCAAATGGCCAAATGCCCCAAACACATGAACCCCGAGTTGCATAAAATGCTGAGGAATGAGTTGTCGGCCGATGGAGGTAGATTCTCAGCTAATTTTCAAGTTTTCATTGAGCTCCTTCAGAAACAAGTACATCTACCGGGTCGAAAAACGTGTTGCGGCGGATGCGATCAAAATTTAGCAAGGACGGCGATGACGAATTGGCTGTGTAAGTGGCTGGCAAAATAGTGTGTGTTTGGAGTGTAGGGGAGCTTTAAAGGGACTGGTAAGGCAAATGTATGAATTTTTGGGTATGGATTTACGATGTTTAGAGCAGTACAAAAAAAAATAGTCCGTAAGATCTGACATACCTGCCAGGGTCCTTTAAAGAGATTTTGAAGTCAAGCTAAGGTCGCCTAACAAGTAGATGCTCAATTTTCGAAGGCGGCTTTAGGTTCCAATTTCTTATGACCATTTCGTCCCCCTCTAAATTTTCCCAAGAAAATCGACGTCCCGATTTTGAGACATTCCACCGGCTGTCACCACGACGCGCCGTAATGAACCATTTAGCCGGCGGGGCTGACCCAAATCTATTGGATCGGACTCGATCTCCCATGCGGGAAATCGGGCACGAATTAGGGAATGAGGTGTTTGAGATTCTGAACGGAATCGGGATTTGAATCAGCCGATAGGCGGTTTATGGTTTGGGGTTAAGGAGGGTTAGATATCGATAAAATTGAGAGCGAGAGGGAGGGAGGGAGGGACGAGAGCGAGAGAGAGTGAGCGAGAGTCTGAGAGAGTGAGTAAAAGTGAGCGCGAGAGTGAGATGCCGCAGAGAGAGAGGCAGCGAGAGAGAGATAGGTAGAGAGAGAGAGAGAGAGAGAGAGAGAGGGTGAACCAGAGAGAGTGAGAAAGAGGAAGAGGGGGAGAGAGCGAGAGAGAGTGAGAGAGAGAGGGAGAGAGGCAGAGAGGCAGAGAGTGAAAGAGAGAAGCCGGGCGCTTTGCCCGCCCTTTAAAAATACCTCCCTGCAAACACCCCTTAATGCAGAAAACATTTTCAGTTTCAAATTCGTCAATTTTCAGCTATACCGACGTCAACGCCAGACGCCCATCTCTTCGCACAGATCTTCTGATGAATCGTGCCAAGACCTCGGTCCACAAGCGTGAATCTAACGGATTCCGCGGCGATCCGGCGGCCAGCGCAAAGTGTACGATCATGTAAATCGACCGATTTCCCTTGGTTTCTATGTGAAAATTGAATTTTCCTTTCATTTTCGCAACCTCTAATAAAAAAAATAGCTTGAAGGATATGTATAATAGCTAAAAGAAAGTATTCATCGTTCTTACTTATCGGGTATTTATTTTGTGCTTTTAAAGGGGTTGTCAAGTCAATTTCGATTCCCCAACTCCTTTAAGAGCAGTTTTCGAATGCAGTGGCTCATTTTATATGTTTTTATGACTTTATTATGTTTATAAGTATCGCTGTACACTCAATAAATCGAAAAACCGTGCGTAATGCGGGGGGGACGAGAACAATAATCGAGTGGAATGTATGCAAATTACTGCTGCCGATGAAAGGCTGGTGGGACCCGAAGAGTAGCTGGGGGATACGGTGATTGGGGCGTTTTTTTAGCCGGCCGTGCTGAAGGTGGGTGTGTATTGGCACGCGTTGTAGTCGACCGGGGAGATCATGTTGAACGCCTTCGTCATGACGTTGATGTAGTCTGGAAGTTATTGAACGTTATTTTAGGGGCTATCAAAAGCGAATAAATTGATTTTAGATTTTTTTAGAAAATTCCTGGCTTTTTAGATTTAGATCTAAATTCTAGAAAAGCTTAAAAAACTTCAAATTTGCCCACATTAAATATATTTAATGCAAAAACGAGCAAGAACTTGAAGGCAAGCTAGCAGGGATCGTTTATGAAGCTGTTTCTACTTTTCGAGGCCTGAAACTCACTATTGGCCTCCAAGAATTCAAGCACGTTCTTCATGTGCTCCTTCTGGAAGCGCGCCGGATCTCTGGCGATGACGAACACGGGGAAACGGACCTAAAAATTAATTAGATTGTTTTTTTTGGTACATCTGTAGTACGATTAAAAAGCCAAAATACCGAATTTTCGGCCAAATACTAAGCCAAAAATACGTTAAAACGGCTCAATTCCTTACCCAGTTAGACACAATGGCGTAGTCGTACTGGTTGTACTCGTTGAGCGGTCCCTTCTTGATGATCCAGACTGAAAAAGTTGAGTTGTATTTTTGTAGTTTGTTGGCTATAGTTATCTTCATTAAAAACGACAAAAACTCACAAGGCTCAGCGTCGGGGGCATTAGATGTGTGGAGCACGAACTGGCCGGTTTCGCCGCTCTTGAACCCGTAGCCCAGGGAGAATCTAGAGCATCCGAGTATTCAGGATAATAAAATTTTTTTTTTAATTATTATAAACGATCATTTTAAATGGCTATGGTAAATGCCTAAAACGTAAAGAACCGTTGAAAATCATACCGTGGGGGTCCATTGGCGTTTCCTTCGCGGTAGAACTTCAACAGGGTGAAGGTGGCGGCGTAGGTGCTGTTGCTCTGAGCTCCGACTAAAACAAAATAAGTATCAGATTTAGGTCGCTTAAACCCAGGTTTTAACGTAGATTATCCATGCTAAAAAAAATCGAAAAACCACGCTTTTCGGCTCTAAAAACACCTCAAAAACCTACAGTGAAGCACGGTGCACGCCTCGCGGATGACGTGCGGGCTGTTGATGACCTAAACGAAGTATTAAATACTCTTTTTGCCTTAGATAAAATTGGTACTAGGTATCTAAAAAAATTAAAATACCTGGAACCAGCGTCCCATCATCCTGGCGGTGTCAACATTCTCGGCCGCGGGGTGGATGGCCTTGAAGACGTCCTTTGCGAGGTTCTTGGCAGAGTCCTGGAAATTAAGATAGATTTTCAAGGTATTTTAATCGATATATTCAGCATTTAAGCATCATTATGTAGTTTTTAAGCTTTGTTCCTAAGCTACTTACCTTGGGCAAAATTCGGCTAATCGAGGAGCCGAGAAGAGTGTTGGCCGGCGGGATCATCTGGGGGACGAGTTGACCGACCTGGAAAATGAGTACAAGCATTAAGAGAGACAAATATGTATTATCAGATTCCCAAAGAATCTCTGCTTGTTTCCGAGGCTCAAAACTTACAATATAGTTAAAGTTTGACAGCCCGGGGATGGTGTTGACGCCAGGTACGGTGGGTACATCTTGAGGTCCTGGGAAGCCGGGCACTGGGATCGGAGCCAGACCGGGGATTTGGCCGGAGGCGATGCCTTAAAAATCGATAGTTCGATGATACCTATGCAATTTTCGATGCCTACTATATGTTCTTATGATACTGTATCGCAACCTATACAGTTTTTTGGTAGACTACAAACTACAAGCTACAACCTACCCTGAAGATCCACTCTGTTTGTGGCGGCTTCATCCACGATCGAGTTCAGGTCATCGCTCTGGTAGTTGAAGTTGGAGGGGGGAGCGCGGCGCGTATCCCCGCGGAATCCCATGCGGGTCAGGATGCTCTCGGCGACCTCTCCGACCTAGAATTAAAAGCTTACTGAATTCAGGGATCAAAAATACCTTGGCGAGCTCCTGTCGCTGCTTCTCATTGAGTTGAGGGGCTGGGGTTGGGTCTTGGATGGGTTGAATAGGCTCGACCTGAAAAATTTTGCGTTCACGCAATTTAAAGCAATAAAAAATCTACTAAGACCTTAAAGTATTTCATATATTGTTCATTAAAGTGGCTGTTTTTAATCTTCTAAAAAAATACCTTTTCTTCCTTGACCTCCTTGACCTCCTTTTCCGCCGGGGCCGCCAAGGCGGTGGCCACAAATAGTGCCAAGAAAAGACACCTCATTCTGAAGATAGAAATAATTACTATGGTACAGGACGGTAGCAGCCTACGATAGAAAACCACTGAAAGCCTCAAAAAACCAATATACTTCTTTGCAAAAATGGAAAACGGTGAGAGAACTGTACCCCCGGAGGCCGGCTGGAGCCAGCGATCTGGTCAGGATTTCACCCAGAGCTCATTTTCTCTCCCGCTCTCTCTCTCTCTCTCTCTCTCTCTCTCTTTCTCTCCCGCAAGCCGGATATTCTTGGCCTAGATTTCGAGCTGTCGCCCGTGTATGGTCCGAAAGCGCGGCTCTGAAGTTTCGCTTTCGCTAACCCGGATTTTCATGGGATAGATGATAAGCCGGTGAGGACCCTAAGGGATGCTGTCTGTTTGAGGATACGGTACTGATAGTGTCAGACAGTAATTCAGGAGCAAAAACGCTACAAAAACCGGTCCAGTCTTGAAAATTGTTCTTTTTGACATCTCCGCCAAAAAAAATTCGATGGCTGCGATGTATTCTTATCGTAATTATTATTCTTTTTCAATTTTAATGCGTATTAAAACCATATATTTAAATCAATAATTTATTACGCAATGAAAACACACACGAAAATCTCATCGAAATGACATCAAAACATGTAAAACACGTGGGGAAATCGGGGGAGTGGAATGGCTCTCGAATTGGGGGTAAGATCGGAAGACCAAGAAAACATGCAATTTTCGCTAAGAAATCATTATTATGAATATTATTAACTAATCACTATGTACAGCATAATGCACTTGATGCCCGGCTCCAGGCTCGGCTTTTATAAATCTGAGAAAATTATTAATTTTGGTCTAAAATCAGTGATAACAAGGTTTGTAGTTTTTAAAAAATATTAGGAGAATGAAAGACAGGAGGTGGACGCAAAAAAAAAGACAAGGAAAATGCTTTTAAATCCTAGTTTTTGTAGCATTGCTCGAGTTTAGCCCTGGTAGTTGAACAGCGACGGCGGGAAGCTGCACATCGACTGGTCGACAGAGGCGACGACGTTCAGTAGGCGGGAGAAGCCGTTCACCCAGCCCTTCTTCTCCATCATCTCCATCACGGCCGTCTCGTAGCGCTGAAAAAAAAGGGTTTATGAGAAAGAGACAGAGAGAGAGAGAGAGAGAGAGAGAGAGAGAGAGGGAGAGAGCGCGCCAGGCAGGGAGGGAAACCCTGTATTTCAGTTTTTCTAGTTTTTAATAGCAATTTTATTTTATTTTTAATCCTATAATTCTGCTATATTCCGAATTTATCTTCGTTTTCCTTAGAATTAGCAGTCCCTTAGAACGTTTTAAAAGTTACACGTTCTTGTTTGAATACGCTTTTTAGTGCTAACGAAAAAGGATAAATTCGGTCTTACAATTTCATATCTCAAAAAACTTTCTTTAATAAGGGCGGGAAAGCATCAATATTCCAAAGAATTATTTGGAAAGCATTTGCCTTTTTATTTTCTATATTAAAACCCTTATTAAATAAGCACCTATCAAAAAAGCATCTTCCGGGACCCAAAATTGTCGGCCCCGTGCCCAGCGTTACCACGGAAGAGCGCCCCCTCTCCGCTTCCCCCTGTTGCCCATGTGGTAGATTGGTAAGGACTGGGGGCCCCCAGCCGCAAGGCGCGGGTTCGACACCCTTCCGCAACACCCCATCCACCATTCGTTACTTGCTGGCCGCCCCATCGGCTCGGCGAGGGGTTTAGTGTGGTAAATGGAACCCGGATCCTTTACTGCTTGAGTCCCTGTGGCTTGAGGTAACATTGGTTCGGTACATTTTTAATTTTTTTTTTGTTAGCCTACTTTATGGGTATAGCTCACCGTTAATACTTATTTTAACGAAAAGATCTTTAAGACTTATTTATTTGTCTTATTTATTTTGCAGGTACCTTGAAGGGAAATTTTTTTTTAGACTTTTCATGCTTTGTCAGTCTATAAAATTTTAATCTTGATACAGTACTTATGAATCGGCTACACAAACGGGTTGGGAAGTAATAAAACTCCTATTAAATCATTTTAAGCATTAACATGTATAAATTTTTAATTTTAGTATTAAAAACCTCGTAACCTTTACCTGCTTGTAGACGACGGGATCCCTAGCGAACACATACATCGGGAAGTTGCAGTTCGTCGACATGACCACAAACTCGTACTCGTTGTTGGCGTTCAGCGGGCCGGTGTGGAGTACGTGGACTAGGAAAATAACAAGCGTTAATGGGCGCACCCCCAAATCCTTACTATTGACGTCCTCCTTGTTGCTCGACGTGCGGAAGATGAGCTCGCCGGCCGATTTGACGATGGCATAACCAGACATGATAGAAGGACGGGCGTTTGGGGTGCCATCGGTGGCGTACTCGAACGTCTCGAAGATGCTGCCGGCGCCTGGAAGATGGATTTTAAAGAAATTTTCATTTTAATAGACTTTAAACCCTGTAGAAAAACACGTTGATTCGAATAAAGATGCCTCTCACCTCCATTGTTGTTCTCGGACAGCTTCTTGTAGACGACCATGCTGCAGGGTCCGCGGGAGAGCGGTGGAGAGTAGACGACCTAAAATTTAGTTGATGTTTGTTCTTTACTGTCGATTTCTCGCTTGCTTTCTCACTTTTCTCGCTCGCTACCAACCTGGTACCACTGTCCCAACAAGGCGTAAAAGTCAAAATCAACAGGTTCAGGCTTGGACGTGCAAAGAGGGGATGACGGCTGGATGATCAAATTCTGGATCATCTCCAGATTCTCGCCAATGGCCGCCTTCTGAGCGTCAGTAAGTTCGGTGCCATTTCCGGGGGCGTCCGTCTCGTTCTTCTGCACGGAACCGGCCGTCAAGGCCTGAAAATGTTGCATTCTTTCTCTCTCGCTCTCTCTCTCACTCTCTCTCTCGCCCACCAACCTTGTAAAGCGAATTCGAGAAGAAGTTCTTCAAATCCGACCCGGGCAGCGGGCTGTTGGGCCCGGACAACAAGTTCGAGACGGCCGATCCGATGGCAGTGGCGTTTCCGGATCCGGGCTTGCCGCCCTCCTTGACCTTCTTCGAGCCGAGGTTGATGAGGTTCAGGATGGTGCCGATGAGGCCACCTCCTCCAGTCGATGTCTCTTCGGCCAGACCTCCATATTCACCATCTCCAGGCTCGCTGTCATCGAGGGGCACCTAGAAAGGAGGTTCGAAATCTATCCCCAAGGATCGTTGCTAGCTTGCTAATGCAAGAGCTTTTCACCCCTTCCTTAATGCGCCTAAAACTGCATAACCCACGTCTCCAACAGATTCCGGAGCACGACGAACATCAGAAGGCAGCATACCACCCTCAGGGACCTCTGGAGCAGCCTCGATGCTTGGCATGACTGGCAAGTCATCGGCGATCAACTAAAACTTATCAAATTCTTTGGTTATTTAAATTTTTAAGTAAAGTTTAAACTAATTTACCGGTTTTCTAGAGGGCGCAACTGTCGGCTGGTTCATCATCGGCGCTTTGGGCAACTTTGGGAAGACGTTCGGGATTCCGGCGATCGAGTTGCCGTCGGTGTTGATGTGCTAAAGTACACATTTTAATTTCTGTTTTCCCAAAGCACCCCTGCTAGCTCTCGCTTTTTGCAACTAACAGCGAGGCTCTTAAATATCATACCTGTTGCTTGCCATCACGCTGAAGCCCAGTCCCAGCGATCTGCTTGTGGTTGTTCAGCACCGAGAAGCCGGATCCGAAGCCGGGTGGCAAGCCATTCGCGGCTTCTAAAAAGTTAAAAAAGGTCTCCGCAACTCCGGATTCATTCTGACCTCCTTCAGGGGCCGTGAAAAACTGCTCCAAGGTGCGCTCAAGTTTCGAAATCTCATGTCTTGGCTGAGCAGCGCCACCCTGGGCGGCAACAGGTGTACCTTGTCCGATTTCGTAGGTTTTCTCGGGGAAGAAGCCGCCGGGCCTAAAAAAACCGGCGTAAAGAAAGCCTGAGTCCAAGCCGGAGCTGCAGCTTAAGCCTAAGCTAAGCTTGTGCCAAGCCGAAGCCTAAGCCTGGCATTATCCTAAGCCAAGACCAAGCCAATCCTAAGCCAAACCTAAGCCAATTGACCGAGTTTTCCTACCTTGGGCCCAGCAGCGAGTCGACAAGTTCGCGGGCGTGCCCGTCAAGTTCAAAGTATTGGCGGAACTCTGGGGGCACCGTGGGCTTTGGGTCAAATCTGCAACGAAAAAGTTCGAGGCGCCGATTGAGGGAAATGAGGCCCGAATCCAGGCCAAGGCCGGCCGGGGGGACCCTATTTGGGCATTGATGAGCAGAAAAAGGGCAAAAAAAATGTGCACGTCGACGGCTACGAGAGCGTACTAGTGACGGAAATCACCCAAAAATTCGGATCTTCGGGTTTATCGATTTTTTTTTTAGCTTCAAATTTTAGGATTTTGAGCTTAAAATTTGAAGCTTCAAATTTAAGAATTTTTTAGCTCTTAAGGACCGTTATTACCGTAAACCGTCAGTTTAAAGTTAATAAAAAATAAAGTGCGATAAAATAAGTATTTTGACCTGTCGGGTCCGAACGGCTCGAGCTGCGCCTGGACGGCGGCGAAGAGCCCAAGCAGGACGAGGGCCAGATGCATGGCGGCTCTGAAAAATACCAGATTTTAACGATTATCGATTGATTTGAATCGGCAAAAAATGAAAATAACAATAAATTTACCAAGAGCTTGAAGAGATCGAATTAATGCCCTCAATCGTAATATGACAAATTTTTTAAATTATTATGAAACAACGATAAAAAAAAGCGCTTTTCGCTTTTACGCTAAGATCAATATATTAACTCGGCGAGATAAAGCCTGAAGAAAAGCACTAACTCCCGACCCGAAAAACCCAAAAAGATAACCCAATTCCCCCCGGCATCAGTCCGAGATCCAAGCCCCAATTTTCACCCACCCCAGCAAGGCGGTTCCCCCCTCCCGGGTGTGTTGACCTAGTGCGCGCTCACCCATGCTGATAGCAACCACCCTGAAAAGGGAAAATTGAAAGTGTACGCGGCGCTACACATCCCAATCAACTACCGTAGCCAAGCTGATGGGCCTGGAGAAACCTAGAGAAAGGCCGAATTTCTCAGTGGCGCGGGGCGCGGTGGCGGCTTTGCACGCCGAGGCACGGCGACCCGAATTTTCGGCGGCGGCGCCTGGTGATCCCGGGATTTCCTAGGGAGCGAGAGGTGGTGGAGGACGTGAACGAAGTGAAGAACTGGGTCGAGCCCTTCGGGGAAGAAAGACCGTCACGCATGTTCGTTCCCCGGGTCTACGGATATTCCCCAGGAGCGCGCGCCTATGGCTATTTGGAAAACCGGATTCCGCGAATGGAGATGTGGACAGCCGGGTGCGAACAGCCAGAGCGGGTTACTGGTTATAGACAGAGTAGTAACATGGACAATCCGAACTTTCAGGGAAAAATCTTGAAATTTTTGCCAAATTTTGATGCTTCCTGATTCTCTTACGGTTTCTCTCCAGCTCTCGCTCTCTTGCTCTCTTTCTCTCTCTCTCTCTCTCTCTCTCTCTCTCTCTCTGTTTTCTTTAATTGTCCCTCGCCAATTAAAATTTTTTTTGTTGTTTTTTCGTTGCTGCTGGAAAATTCTCGGGCACTCACTTTTCTCTTGTCCATTGCTTGTTCTTACTTGGTCGCTCTCTTGCTCTCTCTCTCTCCCTCAAGCCCTCTCTGACTCTCTTTCTCTTTCTCTAACGCTGACCCTCTCGACCTCGCCCTCGAGTAAAACGCGAATTCTGACCTCCAAACACCCGAAACGCAAAAATTTCATGAGATTTATTCATCAAGCCATTATCCAACGGAATGTGTGCAAATGAGACCCGGGGGTAAGCAAAAAAGTCGAAACATCCATAAGTTCATCTACTGCTTGGCGAGTTCCTGGAGGATCTTTGTCGGGTTCTTGAAGAAGTCGGCCAGAGGGGAATCCCCGATTGCACTCTTCTCCGTGACGGCGTTCTGCTTCGACTTCTCGAGGGCCTCTTGGTTCTTCAGCACCCTGCAAGGTCAACGATGAATCGATCGATTTTTGCTTTACGAGTCTCGTTTAAGGTCTAATAAAGCCAAACCTTCTGGCGAAGACCTCTTTTTCGGTGGGCCACTCGCAGTCCTGGCCCTGGTAGATGGGCTTCGGGGAGTTCCAGAAGACGTTGCCGCCGAAGCCTTTGGTTTTCAGGTAGGTTTTCACCTCCTCGTCGTATTTCTAGAAAGGTAGTGTTGAAGTTCATGGAATTTTTTGTTGATCTCTCTAGCTCTCTCTCGCTCTTTTTTTTCTCTCTCGCGCTCGCTTTCCATGTCTATCTCGCTCTCTCTCTCGCTCTTTCTCTCCCCCTCTTGCTCTCTCTCCCTTTCTCTTACCTGATAGTAAGTATTCGGATCCCTAGCCATCACCATCAAGGAAAGTCGATTTGAGTCCGAAACGACGAGGTACTGAATTCCTTCCGGAGCCTCAGTTCCCATCGTCTCGTTGTCGTATCCGGGCCCCGCGTGCAGGATATAGACTAAAATCAAGAATACCAAGAAATTGAGTAATTCCCTTACATTGTCTGGGGTAGAAGTACTCCTCGGTATACATCCAGTACTGGCCGGGGCCGACCTGAAACAAAAAATTTAAGTTTCGTTTCCGGCTTTTTAATTTTTTTGGGGTTGCCTAATTATCATTGAAAGGTTATTAATGACAGGTATTTGATTACCTTGTTCATATCGCGCTTGTACGTCTCGATCGGCCCGTTCTTCGACACCACCCTGTAGGCCTCCTCAATCGAGAAGCCGTCCGAGCCCATCACCGAGTTTTCTTTAACTAAAAATATTTCTATCATTTTATGCTTTTTAAAGGGTCCTGGAGGGACTGGAAAGTGCCAGGATCAACCTTAATATTGACTAGTTCTTGACAATTAATCAGCAAAGCCCCCAAAAAGCGCAAAATCTGATAGAAAAACGTCGTTTAAACGCGTCGTTTTCCATCCCACGTACTTGTCGAGACCTAGTCGAATTAAGGGTCGGCTACAGCGCCTTTAAAAAGTCCTTTAAAAAGCTAGAATTGGCTGCTCAAGGTATGTGACTTACAGTACGACACCTGGCAGAACATCTGCGTCCTGAAGACATCAAAGTTGATGGCCGCCTTGTACATTTGATGCCATTTGCCCATGAACAGCTCGGCGGGCAGGTTGATCGTCTCCACGGTCTGGCCAACCATGCTGCCCAGGCCGCTGATGATGCCGGTGATCGTTTGGAGGTCCATCTGAAGGGGGATTGAGGTAAATTTGGCGACGAATTCGACAAGAAAATTCGGCCTTAAAAAATAGGGGATAAATTCATGCATTAATGACTTTAAGAACGTTCTAAGATCTTATAAATTAAAAAGATTCTGTTTTAAAAGCACCTTCTAAACGGTTAGGTTCTATATTGATCCGTTAAATCGAAAATTTTTGTAAAATCAACCAAAAAATCCTAAAAATTGACCCACCGCATTCTCGCCAATGGCGGCGACGGCCTGCACGGCCAGAAAGGCGCACAGTATCCTCATTGTCGACGGGGAAAATTACTGCAATTTCAAGCTTTTACCAAAATAAAGATCAACGGCAAACGCTAGATAGCGATATCCACAGGATGGGAAAGGACTTTCGCCTATTCGCCCCCCGAAACGGGCTTCCTCCCCCCGACAATCCTGGAATATGGGTCAGTGGGCTGACAGATGGACATACAGAGAGACATCTACACAGACAGGAAGACATACAGATAGAGATACAAACAGACAGACACGATCGAATTGTGAGCCCACACCGATTTTACGGGTGATAACGCGGGTTTAGGTGCGTGGAGACTGTCTTTCTTTTAAAGGGATCGTGACAGGATGATTCGTAACGGCTACGTCGCGTGTCCGCTTACGGCATCGCGCGTTGCGTAATGGTCTCGGGGGTTCCTCTACCATCACGCGACGCGCACGCACGATCGGAACCATCCGCTCCATTGCATTTTCGCTTTTCGCTTTCCACTTTTTAGTCGCGCAAAACCCGGCAAACGCGTGACGCATACGTCACGGGTGCGTAGCGGGTGCGTAGCGAATGCGTAGCGGGTGCGTGGCACATGAGTAGCGGATGCGTTGCGGATGCGTTGCTGATGCGTCACGGATGCGTAGCAGATGTGCTGCTCGTGCGTCGCGTATGCGTACCGGTTTCTAGCCTGTAATCGGCTTTTTCAACTATAGCAGGAGATTCTAGCCTTATGTTGTTCTCCCGCTCTTGCTCTCTATCTCTCTCTCTCTCTCTCTCTCTCTCTCTCTCTTGTTGTCTATATTATCTTGCAATACCCTCTGGGAAAGACAACATTTATTAAAATTTGAACACGTATCACAGGGTGACATCCGAGGTAAGTCGGCATTTTTAGGCCGCTTGTTTCGGTGCATGAGGTTATACAGTGGGCGATCGACCGCAAGGAGGACAGTATGAAATTGATACTACACACTTTAAAAACAGGAATGGTGGCTGGTATTCGAGGGAGGGTTGGGAATGAGGTCCGAGATCGGGAATTCCTTCTTATTATCGTAGTTATTGGCGGCAGTTTCTAGCCGAACACCTCGAAGGTCGAGTCGGCGTACTGGCACGAGGAGTACGAGGCGGGCTGGAGGAGGTTGAAGGCACGGACGAAGCCGTTGATGAAGCCCTGAAAATTTGAGGGTGGATTTTAAAGGAACGTTTTATGTCAAGCCTGCTTGCTTGACCTGCTCGAAGACACTCTACTCGTGCACGTTCCGGTAAGGTCGAATTTATTGAGATTTTGAAGCCAGACCGATTAGTTTGGCTGAACTGCTTGAAGACGCTCTATGCAGCCGCTCCTGGCTTTTTCTAAGGGGGTTCGAGCTAGAGCGCTGCCGAACTTCTTGAAGATGTTCGAAGCACTTTTACCGTAGCTTGTATGCTTTTCGACTCGATTCATCTTGACCCACCTGATCTTCCAACCAGCGCAACACCTCCTTCTCGTACTTCTTCTTGAAGGTATCGGGGTCACGCACGAGCACCGTAACCGGGTACTTCACCCAGTTGGACACGATCGCGTACTCGTACTGCGAGTTGCCGAACGGATCCTTGCCCTCGGGGCCGAGCTTGTAGACCCAGACTGAAAAGGCAGAAAAATTACATGGAATGGTGTGGCTAAGGCGACCAGAAACCACGCTCGACACGTTCAACGAGTTCAAGCCGGGGCCCAAAACTTACAAGGCTGAGCATCACTCGTCTCGGAAGAGTGCAGCTGGAGCATGGCGTCCTTGTTTCCGCCACGGAAAGCATATCCGATCGAGTACTTGACCGGGCCGAACTCGCTGCCCTCGCGGTAGATCTTCAGGGCGGTGAACGTGGCGGTCTTGTCGTTCTTGGTCAGGCCACCATCTAAAAAAGTAGTTCAGATTCGTAATTTTCCTGCTGAATTTCTTGAATTTGTTGACCAAAGCCTACAGTGGTGGACGACGCATCGTTGCTCACTCGCACGCGGCGAGTTGATACCCTCAAACCAGCGGCCCATGAATTTGGGTAGCTCGAACTTCTCGGGCGTGGAGGGGAGCAGGGCGTCGGTGACGTTGTCGGCAAGGGTCTGTAAATTTTGAGCTTTACCTTGAGCCTTTCGAAGACGCTGCTGACCCTGCCTTTGGGCGGTTTGAGTTATAGACTAGGTACGGCTAATTTCTTTAAATTCTAAGAGTGAAAAATGACCAACCTGGAGCTGCTCTGGCGGGAGAACATCAGCAAGGGTGGTGCCGTTGGAGATGCGGCGGGTGACCTGGCCGATCAGGCTGACGACGTCGATTTGGCCTTCTTGGTTTCGTGGAATTCCGCCGGGGAGCAGGGGAATTCCGGGGATACGGGGAAGTCCAGCGTGGGTGGGGCCGTTTCCGCCTGAAAAACGAGGGTTTGAGGAAGCCCGACTTCGACAAGTTCAACAAGGGGTAAGTGAAAAGGTGGATTTTAGCTCAAGCGATCGCTCTCAACAAGTTCACCGCCGGTATGGTGGATGCCCGCTAAGCGATATTTACGTCTCGTCCTCACCTCCTCCTCCAAGAGCGGCAGCAATTCCGGACAAGGCTCGTTGAGTGGCAGAAGGTTGACGGCGGATGTTGGAGGAAGAGGAGATGGCGTCAGACTGGACGACGGGTGAGTCTCCGGGGGTGTGCGTCTTCACACCGGCGGCCTGAACATCTCGATGACATCGCTAACGTCCCAACTTACACGATCACGATGCACGACAGTTTCGGCTCCATCAGTGTTGGCCTCACCACGAGCCTGGGGTCCGGTCCCGAGCAGGTTGGGCAGCGACTGCGACAGGGCGTCGGACACTCCTGTTTCCTGAATAATGGAAGTTACGAAATTTGGAGCTTCCCGTACCTTGATCAGCTTCCTGACCGATGTGGAGAGGAGTCCGATGAGTCCATTGTCTCCGGGCTTATCGGCCGGCATTCCCATGCCCGAGCTGGGGTGGTACTCGCTGGGGTTGCTCACCTCGTTCAGCACCTGGCTCATCTGGCTGGCAAAGTTGGGGTTGGCCTGGGCGAGCACGTCTAAAGGAGCGTAACGCAGGCGATGGGTTCAGATTTGCTATCATAATATCGAGATTCATAATGCCGAAATTTTCCAATGTCGACATTTCGTAATGCCGAAACTTCGATATGTCGAAATTACAATCTGTCGAAGATTTTGCCTAATGGGTGATTTTCCGGAATTATGAAATTTCGGCATAACGAAGAATCCGAACGAACGATTCGAAACGTCCGCCAATATGCAAATTCGACATTCTGAAATTTTTTACTGTATGAATTTCGACATTGTGATTTTCGCCATTTTGAAATTTCGCTATCATGAAATTTCGACATTATTTAGACCATTCGCTCAGCATTACTTACCAGGCGAAGGCTGCGCCGGCACAGGTTGACCGTTGATATGCTCTGCCGGGAGTCCCTGAATCGGGACACCTGCAGCACGCATCTCCTTGATGGCGCCGTTGAAGCCATCTGGGTGGCTTCCGGTAAGACCGGGGATTCCGAAGGAGTCGAGCCCGAAGAATTTGATGAGCTAAAAAAATTTGAGGTAATGCTGACCTCGTTGAGGTCTTGTTACCTGGTTCTGGACATCCGGTGGGATGGTGGCCGGAGGCGCGGGTGGGGGTGTGCCGTCATTTCTGGGGACGAACTGCTGCATGCCGGGAGGAGAAGCCGTCTGGACGGGCTGCATGGCGGCCGGGACGACGGGCGGCTGGAAAAGGACAAATTCTATGAATTCCGATTGCTAATTAGCATTTTGCCACTGCGCGAACGCGTCGCGGTCGCGTTGCGTGCCGCACACTCTCTGGACAGCGCCTTGACAAAATTTTAAATTTTGTCTTGCCAATCCCTTTAAAGGAACCGTGTCACCAAAAAAATGGATACCTGCGTCACCGGGGCGGCAACCATCGGCGGGGCGGCCGTTTCGACGGGACGTGGTGGCACTTCCATGCCGCCAGCATTTGGAGGTGGCTGGATGGCACGTGGGGCCGAAACCTAAAGATAGTTGTGAAATTGATTAATATATCTTTATACTTATCCATAAAATATTGTCTTTTTTTAACACTCTCACCTCCTCCAAGAACTTCGGTTTGTGGGGCTGGGGTTCGAGGCGGATGACGATGGGTTGATTGGGGTCCTCCTGGGCGGCCACCAGGGCCACCAGGGCCAGAAGGCCGATGAGACGGCTCATCCCTAGAAAAAAATGGATTAGATAAGATTTATAAAACATCAATTAAACTAAATCAGAAGTATGACAACAATATTAGAGCGATCCTTATAGGTATGGGCAGAGAGAGAAATTGGCTTAATGATAGCGAGAAATTCGCTATGTCTCAAAATAAGACTACAAATTACACCAAAATATCCACTACGTCAAGTGGAAATTTCGGAATTCTCACGACCAAACGCCTCAAACTCAAAATTGACGCTACCGAACCCTTTTTTTAAAAGTGATTTTCGGGCGCCCAAACGCTCGGAGGTGCCGTAAAGGGTCGTAAATCGTTGGCACTCCCCACAAAACTAGACCCCCTGGATGCCCCGGGCAATTTTGGTGTTCCGCCGATCGAGCCAGTCACCACACAACTTGTCCATTTTCGGCCATCCCGCGCCAAATCCCAAAAAAGTGTTACACAAGTGTCCTATGGACGGGGTGTCAAGAGCCAAAAAAACGCTCGGTATTGCTTCGTTTTTTTTAGGTGGAGAATCTGGTAGCCGAGGGCTGGTCGGGCTGAAGCGGTCATTTTTTTGTAAAATTCGGGTCCTAGGCGTCAAAAAATTATTTAATTGAAGCTTCAGAAATCTTAAAAAGTTCAACAAAGTTCAACAAGGTTGACAGTTATAAATTATTTCAGCGGTTTAAAATTTTGGTGGAGCCCCCAGCGTGAAAAGGGCTAAAAATGGCTGAAAAACAACTCTAGAAATCATCTCATGCAAAGTTGAAACCACACAGAGCCTCAAAATCGATAGAAAGCCCCAGAATCCAGATCCGAAATTGTCAAAAAATCGTGAATAGACCTCTACAAATTTCCGGCCCTAACCCCCCATCCGTATCGCTCGGATTAAGCCCAAAAACCCGACTCGCAAACCGAGCTTATGGTTGCTGCGGGGGTGAAAAGCATTAGATGTCGAGTGAATCTGCTTGTGTGTATGGAGAAGCGGGTCAAGGCTTCCCCCCAGCGCTCCCGCGCGCATCCGACACGCCGCAGGGGCCGAATTTCGCTCTCAACGAGAAGAGGGTGGCGAATGACCCAGATTTTGAGGTCTCGCGGATGGATCTGGATCTGTTCGGGGAGGCTTGTCTCGAAAGAGCCATTCTGGCTTTCTCTATCTCCTTCTCTCTCTCTCTCTCTCTCTCTCTCTCTCTCTCTTTTTCTCTCTCTCTCTCTTGTTCTCATGCTATGTTATCACTTTCATTCCCAGATTCACTGCACTGACCTGGAATCCTAGGGTCGAAATGGAGATGCGGATTCCCAGAAAATGAGTGAGGGGCCGTCTGAAAATAATCACTACTTATTAGTTTTCTAACTTGTAGATCGCAAAGGGTTGCAGCTAGTTTGTCGCCTCCGTTTAGAGAGGCGAGAGAGGAAAGAAAGAGACAGAGCGAGAGAGAGGGAGAGAGAGAGGGGGAGGGAGGGAGGGAGAGAGAGAGAGAGGGAGGGAGGGGGGAGAGAGGGAGAGAGAGAGAGAGAGAGAGAGAGAGAGAGAGAGAGAGAGAGAGGAAGATGTTCTGTAGATAGATGGATGATACGCGCCGTACCCGTAACGCGTTCTTGGAGCTCAAATGCCATCTGCCCTTTAACTGGCGTCTACGTTGGTAATCCGCTTTTGTAAACTCCATGATTGCAATATTTTAAATATTAAAATATACCTCTACTGGGGGCGTGAGGCCTGCTCAGCATTTCGCGGGCAACTTTGCTTACGGTTGGTCCCCTCTCTCAAAAGGTGACCAACAGATGCTTTCCCATCCCCATGAAGAAAGCTCCTGACACAGCAGAAGTCTGTCTCTTGTCCTAGGCAATTCAATTCCTGAGTCAGGAACAGTCCGGAAATGTCGTTCAAGGCTGATTAGCATTGAAGTCTGTCAATTCGAAATTCCTTCCGCTTTGCGCATAGTTGCAAAAGAGCGTTCTCGATTTCTTACAATATGACTCATCCAATGTGCGGCGGAAGCGCGAAATGGGATGTACCTTATGTATGACGCCTGGTTTATAAGCAGATGTTTTGATGAGGGGGCGCGTCTCCTTTCCGAAACACGTCATCCGGATATTATAAAAGCCAACCCAACGAGGGAAAGTGGCTTTTCGGCTTTAGTCCACGATGAGAATATTCCTTTTCTTTGTCCTATTCCTGATCGTGGCCGCTGCCGCACCGGGTCGAAGAATCGACCGATCTGCCCCGCGTGTGAGTGATATTTTAATTTTTTAATTTTTAAAGTTGTGAGCTCCACCTCAATTGTGTCTCTCAATTGATAAATGGCCATGTTTCTAAAAAATAAGCAAATATGGCATCCGTTGCAATAGAGCTTTCCTTTTCCCAGTGAAAAAATGTACGTTCAGGCACCCCTACTCGGCTTCCAGAACCCAATAGTCTGCAGTGACTACATCACGCCGCCACCGGGTTGTGTAACTGGTGAAAGTGTGTTTATAATTTTTCCACATCGGTTTTGAGAGTTTTATCATTTTTTCTATTAATTAACAAATTTAGATTACCGATGGCGACGAATCTAGGGTGCAAGAAAGACTAGGAAAAACATGATCGGTGTCCCTTCCGATTCATCGCAGGGCCTGGGAGATTTGGTGCAATAAATTTTTGATACAATTACAGTGTTAGCAGAATACCGAGACAAGCACATATGCGTCTTTAGGTGCACTGCGTATTTAGCAATATTAACAATAGCCACGAAAAATTATGCTAAACATAGCAAAAAACCTGAATTTTTTAAGGCTCTTGTTTTTTGCCTGTTCTATTAGTGCCTCTAGGTATTGGTCACTTTATTTTTTACTGAAAAGGTGGATATATTTAGCGGAAAATTTCTACATAAAAATTACGTTACGAAATTCAAGCATCCAAATTTTGAAAATTCACTTAAGGACTTGGCCTTTTGTCACCTCATCATTAATGCTTTGTAGCTGTGGCTGACTGGTATCCATCCGCGCCTCCCGAGCGCGAGGCCAGGGTTCGACCCCCGGCCGCGGCAAAAGTCTTTGCTTTTTTCCAAAACAACGTCCCTGAACGTGCTCTTTAACAACCTTCTACACGTTTGCCCCCCTACT